AGAACCTATACTACTGTCTAGCGGCACTTAATGCATTTAATGTTGGGTCTTTTCTGTTCCTATTAAAGCACATTTCTCGGTGATGCTCAGGTGAGCTGCGTTAGTCATTTATCTCCAAAGTGGAACAAAGCAGATTACAAAAAAAAATAATAAATAAAAATAAAGCAGCCAGAGGCGTCCTTTTTGAAGTCACGAAGCCCGTCGCTTCTGTGACTGATCTCTATTTTTTAATTTCCATATAAAGAATCAATCGATTTTTTTTCTTCGGTTATACTTTGAAGGTGGGTTGACTGGATGCAGAGCAGACACACAAAGCCATTTCCTTGCAAGCTCTTTAAATCGATGCCACGGCTGAGTTTCTCGCACTATTTATGGCTAAGGTTAAAGCGATTTTGCACAACCTGCAAAGTTTTAATCGATATGAATGTTGGTTAACATGGTGTGTGCGTTGAATGCATGTGTCGTTAGTGCGTTGCGCAAATCGAGGCCTTTTGCTTCTTAGGAGATCCATGTTGTGTGAAAATTCAACAAATGTATTTATTTGATAACTTTGGTTAAGTTTGTGGCATACACAGAACTGCCCAGCTCATTGTGTTAAGATGTTTCTTAGTTTTATGCGTAAGTGATGTAGTGCTTATATCACACTGGACAGCCTATATACAGTAGTGGCCAAACCTTTTGGGGAAAGTGTATTTTTGAGGTTTGATGGCTAATAACACCACTTTTTCTTTTAGAGTTTCAAGATAATCCTATTCCACTGCTGGAATAGCCTGGGAATAGCCTAGACCTTCACCCAATGGAAAATCTATGGAGCCGACTAAAGAAAGTTGTTAGTTAGAAGTGACCCAGCAATAAAACCCAGTTAATTGAAGCCATCATTCAATCTTGGTTTCACATGATAACAGCTGCAGAACTAAAAGACTTGATTCACTCCATGGGAAGACGTTGTAAGGCCGTCATTCATGCTAAAAGGTACCCAACGAAGGATTAACTGACATGGGGATCATTTTTGTATATCTCCTTTTTTCTATGGTGATAGTTTTGTATCTCTCTTTTTTTTTCTACGTGTTTCACTTTTCTTCTTTATTCTGTAACTTCTATTCTAATAGCAAATCCTTCCTAAAAGTTATTGCATTACATTCTTGATTAAATTATCTTTCCACGGATATATCATTTTATGGTACTACTGCAAAAAAAAAAAAAAAAAGTGGTGTTATTAGCTAATTTTAGAAAATACACTTTTCCCAAAAGGTTTCCACAATTTTGGCCACTACTATACATTCCTATGAAATGGTTATTTTTCAGTCACGGCAGTTTTAAAAAGTGTGGACTTCAACTCCCAGAATTCCCCAGCTTCCAGTGTGGACTTCAACTTCCAGACGTCCACACTTCTTAAAGTTGCCAAGCTTGAACAAAACACTGCTATAAAAGAATAATCCATATGGGAAAAATAATCTATAAAAATCCCTCTGTCTTCATAAAACGACCATTCATTTCCTCTTAAACATTTTAAAAAACTGTTTCTGCTATAAATTCTGATTTTAGGCTATGGAAAGTATCTGAAAACACAACAGTAGATGAATCGTCAACCACGATAGTTTGTGTATTTTTGCTAGAAACTTCCACGAAGGATTTGATTGCAGGAAAAAGTTTTTAATTTCCATATTTTTTTCTTCCCTGACTTTGTACCTTTCTCTAACTAAATGGGTTAATCCAATGCCTTAAATCAACACCCTCACCCAAAAAAGGTTCAAAATACTATATGTAAACCAGTGGTGGGTTTCCATTTTTTTTACTACCGGTTCTGTGGGCGTGGCTTGGTGGGTGTGGCATGGCATGGCTTGGTGGCGTGGCTTGGTGGGCGTGGTAGGATACTGCAAAATCCCCATTTCCTCCCAATCAGCTGGAACTCGGGAGGCAGAGATTAGATGGGGGAGGGGGGCCAGTCAGAATTTTTACTACCGGTTCTCCAAACTACTCAAACTTTTCGCTACCGGTTCTCCAGAACTGGTCAGAACCTGCTGAAACCCACCTCTGATGTAAACAGATATTTTCAAAGCTCTATTGTGCTGTCTGAATGGATCCAATGATCAACCATTCCAAAGGGTTGCTAAAAGTAGAAATTGAAGCAGGAACAAAATTGTTTGGCTTTGTCTTCTTTTTCCAGAACAGTTTTCCAACTTCACAGACTAGCTGGGATCTGAGTGAAATTTGATAAAGGAAATTGAAGTAGAATGAGACAGCCCAGTGCTACATTTAAGTGGTAGAATAGAATAGAATAGAATAGAATAGAATAGAATAGAATAGAATAGAATAGAATAGAATAGAATAGAATAGAATAGAATAACAGAGTTGGAAGGGACCTTGGAGGTCTTCTAGTCCAACCCTCTGCCCAGGCAGGAAACCCTACACCACTTCAGACAAATGGTTATCCAATATCTCCTTAAAAACTTCCAGTGTTGGAGCATTCACAACTTCTCACTGTCAGGAAATTTCTCCTTAGTTCTAAATTGCTTCTCTCCTTGATTAGTTTCCATCCATTGCTTCTTGTTCTACCCTCAGGTGCTTTGAAGAATAGTTTGACCCCCTCTTCTTTGTGGCAACCCCTGAGATGTTGGAACACTGCTATCCTGTCTCCCCTAGTCCTTCTCTTCATCAAACTAGACCTACCCAGTTCCTGCAACTGTTCTTCATATGTTTTAGCCTCCAGTCCCCTAATCCTCTTTGTTGCTCTTCTCTGCACTCTTTCTAGAGTCTCAGCATCTTTTTTATATCGTGGCGACCAAAACTGGATGCCTTATTCCAAGTGTGGCCTTATCAGGGCCTTATAAAGCGGTATTAACACTTCACGTGATCTTGATTCTCTCCCTCTGTTGATGCAGCCCAGAACTGTGTTGGCTTTTCTGGCAGCTGCAGCACACGGCTGGCTCAGATTTAAATGGTTGTCCCGTAGGACTCCAAGGTCCCTCTCACAGTTGCTACTATTGAGCAAGGTACCACATATTCGGTACCTCTTCACCATCATTCTAGGAGGCCTTCCTAATTACACTGTGCATTTTGTTTTTCTTCCCTAAATATAGAACCTTGCTTTTTTCACCGTTGAATTTCATTTTGTTAGATAGCACCCAATCTTCAAGTCTCTCAAGATCCTTCTGTATCTTGAGCCTTTATCTTCTGGAGTGTCGGCTACTCCTGCCAGCTTGGTGTCGTCTGCAAATTTGATGAGTTCCCCATCTATCCCCTCGTCCAAATCATTGATGAAGATGTTGAAGAGCCCTGGGCCTAAAACAGAGCCCTGGGGTTCCCCACTGCATACTTCCCTCCATGGAGATGCAGTTCCATTGAGGACTACATCTCTTAGTGATGCATCATCCTACAGGTAACAACATTAGAGCCTGCTTAGCTGCTGAGCCTGGGCAATGTTAATCACAGATCGACACTTAAAGCTTGTAAAATCTTTTGCTTTCAATTCTACAGAGAGAGAGAGAGAGAGAGAGAGAGAGAGAGAGAGAGAGAGAGAGGGAGGGAGGGAGGGAGGGAGGGAGGGAGGAGAGAGAGAGAGAGAGAGAGTTTCACTAAAGTATACGGAGGGGAGTTGAATTCACGCAGCAAGTTTAATTTAGACAGATGTTGTCATGTTCACACTAGATGTAAACCTCATTGGTGTTTCACTGGATATTTTAATATTTTTAATATTTAATATTTTCAATGACTTGTTTAAAACCAGCATACAAAATTGTTTAATTCGCTACCCAGATTAAGCGTGTTGTGTGAATAAAAGCATATTTTTATAACTTCTCAACCCTCATTCTGGGGAAGCATTCCTAATTATGTTGTGGTTCTACTCACACAACTTGCATCACCTGGCTGTCAACCTCTTCACTGTCATTCTAGGAGGCTTTCCTAATTACATTGTGCTTCTATTCACACAACGCACATTTCACCTGGGTGTTAACTTCTTAAAACCTCATTCTAAGAGGCCTTCCTAATTTCAGACCCATTATTTGAAGGATTTTGCTCGATTTTTGTATTGTGTAAAAAGCAGAGGTGGGTTTCAGCAGGTTCTGACCAGTTCTGGAGAACCGGTAGCGGAAATTTTGAGTAGTTCGGAGAACCGGTAGTAAAAATTCTGACTGGCCCCGCCCCCATCTAATCTCTGCCTCCCGAGTCCCAGCTGATCGGGAGGGAATGGGGATTTTGCAGTAACCATCCCCTGGATTGGGGAGGGAATGGAGGTTTTACAGTATCCTTCCCATGCCACGCCCACCAAGCCACGCCACGCCCACCAAGCCACACTCACAGAATTGATAGTAAAAAAATTTGAAACCCACACTGAGGACCCAGATTATGGGGACAATAAGCTGACTTTGTATAAAATATACAAAAGGATGAAGGCTATTGCTTAACGCATTGTAAGCCACCTTGAGTCTCCGGAGAAGGGCAGCATATAAATCAATTAAAAAAAAAAAAGACATTTAACGGTAAAGATGCCTTGCTTTGAATTTCAATCATCGGACGATTGTTTTCATGATCAATCGATTGATTCAGCCGTTTCAGAATGGTTCAAGCAAACCGGTAGCGGAAAGTTTGAGTAGTTCGGCGAACCGGCAAATGCCACTTCTGGCTGGCCCCGCCTCCCACCACCTGCTCACCCACTCACTGCTCGTCCCGCCCACCCTCTCACCCTGCCCGCCCACCTGCTCACCCCGCCCTTCCCCACTCAGTCCACTCCTCATCTCACCTCCCCGGCATAACACGTTGTGTGGCTCCTCGCTTGCATTGACAACACAGTCTCTGCGGCTTGCCTGCCTGATTGATTGATTGATTGATTGATTGATTGATTGATGAGCTTTAACCCATCAGTGATAGAGAAAAGCTGCAAGGGAAACACTTTGCAACACAAGCTTTATTGCCAGAATTTAAGAATTTCAACCAGCAAAAAGGCAGCAGCTGATGGATCAACCGGAGAAACGAGAGATCACAAACTCCAGAAGGGTGTGTACAATTTGAAACAGAAAGCTTTATTAAAACAGCTTGAAAACCAAATGGTACTTTATCTTTTTATTATTATTATATTACAGTCTTCAGCTCCTGGCGTGAAGAGACTGAGAAATGAGAGAGAGAGAGAAAGAAAGAGAGAGAGAGAAAGAAAGAGATGGAGGGGGAAGAGGAGATTTCGAAAGCTAACAAGAAGTGAAGGTTTTCCAGAAGAAATTTTTGCATCCGGCTTTGCGCTCCCGAGGGGTCAGACCCGGGTTCAAGTTGGCCGATCTCTCGAGTTCCAGTCTGACCTCATCTTGTTCGGCCCCGCGGGACAGGTCGTCCGAACCCAGGGCCTCGTTGTCTGGCTGGTTGGGTTCGGAGAGTAACTCTGCCAGGAAATACTTCGCCAGTTCCTTGGAAGGCAAGAAGAAAAGAGAGAGCATTAAAGGAATGGAAAGGAAAATAACAGAATAACAGAGCCGGAAGGGACCTTGGAGGTCTTCTAGTCCAGCCCCCTGCTCAGGCAGGAAACTCTACACCACTTCAGACAAAAGGTTGTCCGATCTCTTCTTAAAACCTTCCGGTGTTGGAGCATTCACAACTTCTGGTGGCAAGTCGTTCCACTGGTTAATTATTCTCACTGCCAGGAAATTTCTCCTTTCGTTCTAGGCTGGTTCTCTCCTTGATTACAGGTAAGTCCTTCGACTTGTGACCACAACCGAGCCCAAAATTTCTGTGAAACGTTTGTCGAGTGAACTTTACCTTGTTTTACAACCATTCCTGCCACAATTGTTAAGGGAATCCCTGCAGTTGTTAAGTTAGACACACGGTTGTTAAACGAATCTGGCTTCCCTATTGACTTTGCTTTTCAGAAGGGGATCGCTTGACCCCGGGACACTGCAACTGTCCTAAGTACATGCCAGTTGCCAAGCGTCTGAATTTTGATTAGGTGACCAGGGGGATGCCACAACGGTCGTAAGTGTGAAAAATGGTCATAAGTCCCCTTTTTCACTAAATAAACTGCTGTCAGACGAGGAACACCTGTAGTTTCCATACATTGTTTCTTGTCTTGCTCTCAGGTGCTTTGGAGAATAGCTTGACCTCCCCCCCCCCATTTTTGGGGGCAACTCCTCAAATATTGGAAGATGCTATCATGTCACACCCTAGTCCTTCTTTTCATAAAACTTCTTTCTTTCTTTCTTTCTTTCTTTCTTTCTTTCTTTCTTTCTTTCTTTCTTTTTCTTTCTCTTTCTTTCTCTTTTTTCCTTTCCTTCTCCCTCCCTCCCTCTTTCTTTCTTTCTTCTTTCTTCCTTCCTTTCCTTCTCCCACTTTCTTTCTTTTTTCTTTTTTCTTCCTTTTCTTCCCTTCCTTCCTTCCTTTCTTTGTTTCTCTTTGTTTCTCTTTCTTTTTTCCTTTCCTTCTCCCTCCTCCCTCTTTCTTTCTTTTTCTTCATCCTTTCCTTCTCCCTCCCTTTCTTTCTTTCTTTCTTCTTCCATCCTTCCTTTCCTTCCTTTGTTTCTCTTTCTTTTTACTTTCCTTCTCCCTTCCTTCCTTTTCTTTCTTTCTTTCTTTCTTCATCCTTTCCTTCTCCCTCTCTCTTTCTTTCTTTCTTTCTCTCTCTCTTTCTTCCTTCCTTTCCTTCTCCCTCTTTCTTTCTTCTTTCTTCTTCCTTTTCATTCCTTCCTTCCTTCCAACCTTTGCAGAAAGGTTGATCTTCTCTTCTTTGTGGCAGCCCCTCAAATATTAAAACTCTGCTATCGTGTCTCCCCTATTCCTTCTCTTCATCAAACAAGACATACCCAGTTCCTGCAACCATTCTTCATATGTTTTAGCCTCCAGCCCCCTCATCCTCTTTGTTGCTCTTCTCTGCACTCTTTCCAGAGTCTCAATGTCAGGTTTTGAGGTTGTCTCAAATAAATTGCATTTCAAACAAAGTCTTTGAGGAAAAACTCCTATTTATTAAGCACGACATTCTAAAATCCGACTCCATCGAAGCCAACACTGACTTCCAGACCCAAAACCCTCCCTTTCCGTTCCCCACTCCCCTGCACTCATTGGCCATCTTCCAAGTCACTCTACCCCTAATCTACTGCTCCAGCTCAAAGGAATTTTCCCCCTCCCATCTCCAGGGGATATTATCTCCAGGGAAAATAAGTAGGTGAAAAGTCAAACGTCCCTTTCCAGACGCCTCCGCTTCTCCTTCTTATGTCAGCACTAGAGTAAATGCAGCTTGAAGTGTTGACACTCAACATCTTTTCTATATCGTGGCAATTAAAACTGGATGCAGGATTCCAAGTGTGGCCTTATAAAGTGATGTTCACGCTTCCCATAATCTTGATTCTATCTTTCTGGATACCCAGAGATCAAATTAATTGCAATTTGCATGCCATTTTCTAGGCAACCAGAGAGAAGGGGGAAAAAAATCCCCCTCCCGTATTTCTGGGTCTTAATTTCCCAGGGATTTCCCTGCCCCCCCCCCATAATCCCCAACCCCCCAAGGTCTGACTCTGCTAAGCTTCTCGCCCCCCAAAAAAAGGAATCCTCAATTTGCAAGCATCCATTTAATGACCGTTCAAAGTTCCAACAGCCACTGGAAAAACTGACTCGCAACCCATCGTCTTGTTTTACAACGGTTGTAGCGTTTCCACGGTCACGGGTGATCAAGATTCGAACCCTTGACAGCTGGTTTGTATTTATGACGGTTGCAGCATTCCCAGGCATCACGGGATTACCGTTTGCAACCTCCCCAACCGGCATCCGAGGAGGAAAATCCATAGAGAAGCTGGATTTGCTTAACAACGATGTGATTTGCAGTGCTTCGCTTAGCAACTATGGGGGGGAAAAGTGATAGAATTCGGGGGTGGGTGCCTGGCTTGCTTAGCGATGGAAATTCTGATCCCAATTGCTGTCTTAAGATGAGGATTTTACTTGGGGATGCCAACGGCTAGGAGTGGGGGTGGAAATCCATGCATATAATTTTAGTGGCTGTGCTTAACACAACATGCAAAAATCCAGCTTTGCTCAGCCACGATGTAACACAATTGTTGAGCTTTCACTCTATGGATTTTTTGCTTAGCCAAGATTTAACACAATTGGCTGGTTCCATTCTACGCATTTCACCCCGAATCATGGCATTAGAATTAGAATTCGACTTAGAATTCGACTTAGAATTAGAATTAGAATTAGAATTAGAATTAGAATTAGAATGGGTTGGGTTAGATTAGACTAGATTAACGATTAGGGATTAGGGATTAGGAATTAGGGATTAGGGATTAGGAATTAGGAATTAGGATTAGATGAATTGAAAGGGACCTTGTAGGTCATCTAGTCCAACCCCCCGCCCAAACAGGAGACCCTATACCATTTCTGACGAACGGCAGTCTTGCAAAAGGAAAAGATGACATTTGTGCAACATGCTACATGACGGAATGGCTGCATTTACAGCAAATATTCAATTTCAGCTCGTATCATATATGGAACATGAAGCGTGATCAAAGGAACTGAATTCACCCACCCTCTAAATTACAGGAAAGGCAATAAAATTTGGACGGGTAGTCCTGAACTGACGACCACAACCGAGCCCCAAATTTCTGTCACTAAGCGAGACGGCAAAGTGCGCCACGGCCCCCGGTTTTACGACCTTTCTTTGCCAAGCGAATTGCTGCCGTCGGTTGAGTTAGCCACAATGTCATTAAGTGAATCTGGTGCTTCCCCCACGGACCTGGCTGGCCAGAAGGTCGCAAAACAGGATCACATGACATCCCCCCCCCAGGGACCATTGCAGCCGTCGTAAATACAAGACAGTTGCCCAGCATGTGAAATTTCAATCAGAGGATCCTGGGAATTCTGCGGTGGTCATAAGTGTGAAAAACGGCCATAAGTCCCTTTTGCCGGTGCCCGTTGTAACTTCCAATGGTCACTAAGCGAATTGTTGTTTGGGGAGAGACTAGCTGAACAAATTAAGATGCAGCAGGGGTCTTTCTCGGGATATTTATTGGAGGGGAGAGGTCTAAAAACTCAAAGCATATCTGAAGCCCGTCCCAATTTTAAACATGGGTCATAGGTCCAATTGCACCATCCCGACAATGAACATGCTATGAACATGCTATGAACATGCTATGAGAAGCCAGCCTCTTAAGCATGTCAGCTTAGCCACAGACCTGAGTCCGTTGATGAAACGGCAGGCTGCAAATGGATTTTTATTAGAAAAAGAACTATGCCATCAGGATATAGAGGTAGTCCTCGATTTATGACCAGAATGGAGCCCGAAATTTCCTTTGCTAACCGAGACAGTGGTTAAGTGAGCTTTGTCTCCTTTTACAACCTTCCTTGCCCGCGTTGTTAAGTGGACCACTGCAGAGGTTAACTTACTCACACGGTCGTTAATCAAATCCGGCTTGCCCCTTGACTTGGCTTGCCAGAAGGTCACAAAAGAGGGGGGGTCGCGTGACCCCCCCCAGGGAGGCTGCAGCCATCGTAAATACGAGTCGGTTGCCAAAGCATCTGAAATCTCGATCATGTGACCATGGTGTGTGTGTGTGTGTGTGTGTGTGTGTGTGCTACGATGGTCGTAAGTGTGAAAAACGGTCATAAGTACCGTTGTAACTTTGAATGGTCACGAAAGGAACGGTTGTAAGTCGAGGACTAATTATACATTGCAAAATAATAAAAAAAGACAAATTAAAGCCTTGGATTTCAGGGTTAGGTCCATCACTTCCACAACGGTTCTGTAAGCGAGTCCAGGGAGGTCAAAAAAGGCAAGATGGCAGCTGCAACCATCAATATTTTTTTTTTAAAGCTTTGCCCATTTGAATTTGAACGTAATTTTTTTTACAAACCGGGTGGAACTTCAGTGACGCTATCCTAGCTGCCATCGTATCTTTTTTAACCATATCCTGAAGATGGAGGGATCCATCAGACAGACGGACAGACAGACGAGGTCCTAAGGGTCTTCTTAGGTAATGGGGGTGGGAAGACAAGATTTAAGGGCCTGAACACAGATGGACTTCCAAGGCTGACCTTAAGTTGGTCAGGATCGAACTCCTGGCTGTGGGCAGAATTAGCCTGAAATAATGCATTCTAACCACTGCGTCACCAAGGGAGGGAGGGAGGGAGGGAAAGAAGGAAAGAAGGAAGGAAGGAAGGAAGGAAGGAGAGGGGAATGAGAGGGAGGGAAGAATGGAGGAAGGGAAGCAGGAAGGGAGGGAGGAGTTGGGAAGGACAGGAAGAAAGGAGAGGGAAATGAGGAAGGGAAGGAAGGAAGGAGAGGGGAATGAGAGGGAGGGAAGAATGGAGGGAAGGGAGGCAGGAAGGGAGGGAGGAGTTGGGAAGGAGAGGAAGGAAGGAGAGGGAAATGAGGGAGGGAAGGAAGGAAGGAGGGGAATGAGAAAAAGAGGGAGAGAAGGAGGAAGGA